TTCCCATTTTTATCCCTCAACATCTGTTTCTTGCTACAATTCCCCGTGGGCCCAACAGCACTTCAGAGCAATCCATTCCACTTTTCAATTTTCTGATAAATGAAATCATCAGAAGATGGCAACTCCTTTGCCATTACTGCTCCATGAAGAGGAGGAGCTGGGTAAGGGGCACGGCCCTTCATCCGATTCCCCTCATCAGGCAGTTTATTGCATTAACCCTGCCTGGCTCACTCCTTGCTGGCTTCACACTGTCGATGTCATTGATAAAGTTATTAAGGAGCATCCGTCCTGCGTTGTCCTCGTGACCGCCAGGGGACACTGTGAGCTCTGAAGTGGTGTGGGATCCTACGGGATGCAGGTTGGTACCCAGCAAGCTCTGCCCCAGGTCTCCCCGTGAGCCCCCTCCCAGCCCATCTGTGAGATCCTAGGGGGGACATTTCTTTTTTTCCCCCCAAACCGGGCTGAAAGGAGAAAGGAAATGAATGAAAGGCCCATTTAGATGTTTGCTAGGATAGAAGCAATCAGCTTTCTGGGAAGAGTGCAATTGGCATCTACTCCACGTGTGCCTCCCCCTGGGTCTGCTGGGGTGCAGAGCAGGAATTGAGGCTCCATGGCAACCATCATTCTGCTAATCAGGGCCGGCACAGACAAGTGCCTTTGCACCTGGCAGGAGTGCAGGGCTTTTACAGGGCTCCATCAAGACCTGGGGATGCTCTCAGCTATGGGCAGGAAAGGGCCTCCCAGGGAGAAAGCCCATGACACCAGAGAGCACCGGGATGGAACCCCATCTCCTGCCCTAGATCTGCTCTTGGCAAAGATGTCCTGGTTCTGATCCCAGCGAGCATCCCGTCAGCCAAGAATGTGCTGCCCAACCCACAGCATTTTGGGGATCACTCAGCTCCAGCACAACCTCCTCTGGATCACTGAAACAGAGCACAGACCCAGGGCATCCTCCCAAGCATCAGCAAGACACTTTATGGGCTCTATTTATTCCTTTCCAAACCTTCTCCCGAGTGAGTCACCAAAGCAGAGAAATGAGAACTGGGGAGCAGGGATGGCCTCTCCCCATCCCTCACTCACTGCAGCTCTGCATGCACCGGCGCACTCCAGGTGCGGTTGCTCCACCAGGATTGATTGCCAGCGTGTTTATGAGCTCACTGCCCTGTGAGCCCCGTGGTAAATATTCATTCTATCCCACACCCAATTTGTGAGCTTTTAAATGGGGCTGGGAAAAGGCCTTTGGCTGGAAGGGAAAAAAAAAAAAATGCTCTGAGTTCTGCAAAATCTCATTTGCAAAGAACACCGGGCGAGGAAATAATGTCACTGTGATTGGATCCCATTTGCCACATAATGACTCACTCAAGATCAGCCCCACCAGCCATAAAGAGCAACAACATCACCATGAAGCACAGCACGGCAGCAAGTAGGGACAGAAGCCAGAGGGAGAGGAGTGAACAGTGGGATCTGTGTGTGCCCCTGGAACCCTCTGCAGAGCATCTCCGTGTGCACCCTGCTCCGGCACATGGCCAGGCTGAGGGACAGGGATGTGGAGATGGTGGAGATGGGGTCCCACAAAGCCCGGCCCTGCATCTGCTCAGAAAGAGCAGTGGGGCACTGGCACAGGCTGCCCAGGGAGGTGATGAAGTCATGAGCCCTGGAAGTGTTCATGAACCGTGTGGATGTGGCACTGAGGGAGGTGGTCAGTGGGCATGGTGGGGTGGGCTGATGGTTGGACTTGATGATTTTCAAGGTCTGTTCCAAACTTAATGATTCTATGTTAGGGGATGCTAACAGGCTCAATGAACCCATGCATGTTAGTATGTCCACACGGAATCCACTCTGGGGCACCGCAGACCCCAGGCAGCTCCAGGTGTTAGCTGAGCCTTGGGGACACCCAAGGGATGAAAGATTAGGGATGGTAATTCTGTCCAAGTGGATAGAGATTAGAAGCTCTTAGCCCGATTTCCACACTCAGGATGCAGAGTAATCAATGGAGCATCCCACCTGTAGCACAGGGAAAGCCAAATCCTACATCTCATGGTCAAATCAGATCTCAGCAGCCTCATCAAGTTACTCCATGCAAGAGAGTGATGGCTGGGTACACAGCATCACTGCCAGTCTGAAACTGCAGCAGCAAGAACGGTAGTGCTGTGGCTTCTGGTAGATGAGGGAATGAAGTTCCCATGGGCTGGAGGAGATGCTTAGAGCACAGCTTGCATCTGTTGGCTGCAAAGGAAACACATTCAGCTGGTCATCCTGCCACCTCCTCTTCTAGCATGGGGACAGCAACCACACCCTGCCCTATTACCCATTCCTACAGTCCTGGATCTCCCCCACAGATGGTGCTGGGATGGGGCCAGGCTGAGCTCTTTTGCTTGCCAACAGCTCCAGAGGAGAGTGCTGAGGACATGTGTACATCCATGTACTTGGATGGGATTTCCTTCCTGGCTGTGCCAGGCTGATGGCAGCAGGCCTGAGCGGCAGCCCGATGCCACCCACTTGTGTTCAGCCAAAATAAAGCTTCCAGTTCGCACAGGACTGATGCAAATCCCACCCCATGTGGCTGCCACAAGTGCAGGCTGTAAATAACTGAGCAAATCTTCAGCAAATGGGGGGGATTTTCCTGTGGCACAGTGCAGCGTCACCGGTGAGGTTTCTCCTCTGCTTTTCCCCCTGCTCCCATCTGGTGGCTATTCCCACCCCACTCACAGAGCCTGGGAACCTGTGAGCACATGAGAGATGCTGGGAGAGCACCAGGAGCATCCTTCCCAACCCTCCCGTTCTGCTCTGTGTCTGCATAAACTGATGCTAATTGCAGCCCCTAAAGGTGCTGGGAGAGGAGCTGCTTCCCTGGGCTCGGTTGTAATGCCAGGCAGCAATTTGGACTTGGAGAACACCTATAACCAGAGATGCGAACCGGGGCTGCTCAGGCACATTTGGAGCAGCCTCATGGGGTTTCTCCCTGGATATGGGGCAGCTGGAGGTGGGGTTCCGATGGGACAGCCGTACGGGGGGTGGCAGCTCCACGCTCCTCCTGGCCCGGTGCCCGTGGTCGGCGGCCGAGCCGATTCGTGGCTCGTTGGCTCCCTCTGGTGGACACGCGTGGAGCTCCGGCGGGCTCCGAAGCGGCTGAGGGGACACGAGTGCAGCGGGCAGAGCTTGGGGACGCGAGGCGGCGGGAAGGGGACACAAGCACTGCTCCAAATGGTCCACTAACCACAAGCTGAACCGATGGCTTCTCCATCCCACGGGTGCAGGAGGGGAGATGCATGAGGTCTGGTGGGATGAATGCTGGCCTCGAGGTTGGGGACTTCCTTGTGGTCTCCGCAGCAGTTCAGGGGTTCTGACACAGCCGTGATGCACGCAGCTCATCCCCCTCCCCCTGAGACACACCTCCCAGCCCAGCACTTTTGGCAGCAGAGCTCTCCCCTCTCCCCCCAGCTGCCCCGCATTAGGGAATCACCCGCGTTCCCCATCCCTCCCTCTCCCAGCAGACCCGCAGCTCCATCGGCTCAGCAGCTGCTCAGCGAGGAGAGAGCCAAGATCCCGTCACAGCGCGTAGGGTTTCCGGCTGCCCGCCTCCATCTGCCGCCCTTGTCCCACAGCCCTCCTGGAAGCACCCTATGACTGGGGGCTGCCCTCGTCCCTTCCCTCCACGGGGGTGGAAGGAACACTGTTCTCAAAGGTCCCTTAAGGAATACCCCAGAGGCTGAGCTCCGACCCAAAAACACCTCTGTGGGGTACAGTGTCACTTCGGGGGACCTCATCTATGTGATAGGGGGGCTCAGGTTTGGCACGGTTTCCCTGGAGGATGCTGAGACCTGGGCAGCCCTAAGCCCTGAGCAAGCCCCGGCTCCTCCATCCCCAGCCCTGCTCATCTCTCGCTAAGTTACTTTGGGTACCACCACATCCACCAGGGGCTGGGGTTTGCCCACAGGAAGGAAGTGAATGGAAGGCACGGAGAAGCCGATGTCCCATTGATGAGGAATGGGGCCGAGCACCCTCAGACCCCCCACGTTCCCCTTCCCACGCAGCCCGGCCCGCAGGGCCCAAAGGATGTCCCAAAGTGGACAGCCTGGCCGTTAGCACTTCTAAAAATAATAACTTACACCGTGCCAAAAAAAAAAAAAAAAAAAAAAAAAAAAGCTGTTTTTGTTGTTGTTGTTGTTGTTTATTTGTTTTTCTTTCTTTCTCTCTCTCTTTCTTTCTTTCTTTTTTTATTCTCCTGTTTTAATGAGAAGCTCCTGCAGTTCCTCTCGGAACACTCCCGCCGTCCTGTCGTCGTCCCCTCCCCGTGGCCATCCCTCCTCCCTCAGTCCTCTGCCCCGTCCCTGCGGGAGGCCCCGTATTGCCCCCCCCGCCCCCGGCGGCCCCCCCATCCCGTCGCCATGGCGACAGTGACCTCACGCTGTCGCGTAGCAACCGCTGACATCATCCCGGTCCTGTTCTCATGGAAACCCGCGGGGGGTGGGGGGAGGGCGGGGAGGCAACGGCAGCCCCGGGCGGGGTCCCGGGACCACCCCCCCCAGCACCGGAGCCTCCCCGTATGGCGAGGAAGGGATAACTTGCATAAATCAGCATAATACAGGGACGTCAGCCCGCGTCAGCCAACTGCAGGGGGTGGGTGGGAAAACGGGCGCAGCACTGGGGAAGGGGGGGGGAGATGGGCTGCACTCTTCATCGTCCCTAAGACGAGCACTCTATCCCACGTAGAGTGCGCCCTACATCCCACGTAATGTGCTCAGCATCCTACGTAATGTGCATCTCATTTCAAAGTGCACCCTGTGCCCTCGCACCCCGCAGGCTCTGTGCCCCGTGTCACCTTCCCTGGATGACCCCAAGCCTCCAGTGAAGCCAGAGAGCAGAGCAGCATCTGCACTCCACTCCAGAACTCTGGCTCCAGATCAACCGCCCCGGCGTGCTGCAGGCACCCACCTCCAAGCACGGCTGTGCTCATTCTCATGGCGCCACACACCCTACAAATTCCCCTAAAGCATTCATTTATCTCTAAGCTCTCAGGCTGCCTGTTTATTATGGGTTGTGTTTCCAAGGACCCCATGGAGGTGGCCAGGAGGAACGGGGCTGTGAGCCCATTTCGTAGGGGAACTGCCCTGTGGGTCTGGGAGGGAGCAGGATTTTGAAGCAGGGACTTTTCTGGAGGGATAGAAGTCATGGCATATCCCATAGGGGCTGGCGTTCCGTGGTGTTGCACTCACAGTGAGGTATCCCCGGGGTAGCAGTGGATTCATCTCAAAAAGGTCAAATGTCACCAGACTGGAAAAGGTCCCCATTTCATCTTTCTTCATCCTTCGTTCCCCACCAGTGGACCTCAAACGGATGGGAGAGCACAGAGGCGCCTGCTGTGCTTTGCGATTCCGCAGCACATCTTATGACCTTTGAGTCCCCTTGCAAACATGGAGGTGGTAAATGTCACCGGCTGGGTGGCAGGGAGGGGACACAGAAAACCCCAACAAAGGGCAGCTATTGTCTGTGGGGTGAGGCTGTGGGGTCGGGGGGAACTCCGACCTCACTCCCACCACCCAGGTGCCCCAGTGAATGGGTGGCATTGTTCCCCTGAGCCGTGTGTGGGAGGTGATGCAGATCCCAAATGGGCAGCAGGGAAGAGACGCTGTGTGCCACCGCCCCATCCAGCTCCAGGCCCCATTCCCACATCCCAAATGATCCTTCCTGAGTTCTCTGTTTCAGGACCTTTTATGGCCATCAGTGCCGGCAGACACTTCCCAGCCCACTGCGTCCCGCCAGGCAGGGACAGGGACATTGCTGGGGTCACCCTCAAGTTTCACAGCAGCTCCTGCCTCGTGACAGCAGTGGTTTAGCGTGGCATACTGATAACTTTACTTTGTGCTTGCTGCTGTGTGTCGGGATGGATGGAGCGAGGGATGCTGCCAGGTATCCAACAATGGTGACGTGAGGTCCCCAAAGGGTCCCACAGGGTCCCAAACATCCCTCCCTGGAGCTGGCTGCAGATATGCGGGTGAAGCAGTCCCTCTGCAATGGGTGAAAAGCACTGCTCCAAATACAGCCCATAATTTCCACTCGTGGCAACAGCTATGGAACAGGTTCTTCAGCGAGCCAGAGCAGGGTGACGGGATGGGGAGAGGCTGGGAATGGAGCCAGTGGGGACTTGGCACCGGCAGCCAGAGCCGCCCCTGCTCAGTGGAGAGGGACTTGCGACCCTGGTTGAAGCTGTGCACTGCAGGTAGAAATTTTTGGGGGTGGCTATAGAGAAAATATTCTGAATTTAGTGTTTTCACGCAGCTAGAGCCCCAGTCTTGGTGCAGGGGACTGGGACACTCAGGGGTGTGAGGTGAGACCCCACTCCCAGCCCCAAATGAGATCCCTGTTCCCGTTCCTGGAGATGGCACGGGTGGGAGTTTACAGGGCTCTGACGCAGGAGACGTGTGACAGGAGCACTGTTGCCAGGCTCAGGGAGGGACCCAATCGTGCCAGGGTGCTCTCAGCAGATTAAGGACTGGAAGGCTCTGGTAATTACTTTGTGGGATAAAAATAGGCTCGGCTTTATCCTGCACCCTGATCTCCATTGTCCCCACCCAGATGCCACCCACTCGCAGCAGGGTGGGGAGTGGCAGAGTTCCCATTTTTGGGTAAAAAAAAGGGAGAGGGACTCAGGGATGAGATGGCACCTGGCTGGTATGTTCAGAGCTGGGGCTGGAAAGGAGCCTCACGGCAAAGCCAAAGCGTCCCTGTGTCCTCAGCCCTGCTGGAATCAGGCTGAAGGACAGCTGAGGTGAAGCCTTGGGGTCTCTGTGGCAGTGGTACATTGGGTACGGGGCACGTCAGGAGCTGTAGTCTGGCATCGGCCTCAGTACAGGGCTCCCACCTGCCTGGTCCCAGCAGGAGGGCAGCTGGGGGGCACGGCAGCCACACAGATTTTGGCTGGTGGAGCAGCACCGTCAGTGTTTCCTTTGGCGAGGAATGGTCATGCAGAAGATGGTATGGGAATAGAATGCCCTCCTGCAAGCCCCTGCAGCCCAGCCCCCTGAGCCCCCACATCCCCATTCACAGCACAGCAAGCAGAGCCATGAGTGTTCCGTGCACTTCTGCCCTCAGAACAGGCAGAAAGCAACACCAGCCCCCAGCACTGCTCATCTGCCCGCCATGCCCCTCCACTACCCTTCTAAACTCCCATTACAAGCACTCCTAAACCCACCCCACGGTCCCTGCACAGCACCCTCATGCCCATGCACTCACACGCTCTTCTACTCCCACCCTATGCTCTTCTACTCCCACCCCATGCCGCACTCCAGGCATCCCAAATCCTGTATTCCCGCTGTACTCCCAAAGCTGCGTACAACGGCTGGGGGGGGCTCAGTCCCCTCGCTCCCTCCTACAGGGACGGCTGCTCCCCTACGCCCTGCAGAGCCCTCAGCGCAGCGCGATGCTCCGGGCACGGTTCCCCCCAGCCCTACAACCGCCCTGCCAGTATTTTTCCACTGCCTCCACATCCTCAATCTTTTGTTCTTCGCAAACCCTAAATCCGGCCCCATCCCACCAGGGGATTGCATACTCCCTCATACCCTCCTCCCCAGCCTCCCCCCCCCCCCCCGAAAAAAAAAAACCTTTGGGAATTTATTCCCCCACCAGCAAACCCCTCCGGTTGCGTGGCGGTAGCGCGGGTTGGGGGTGCCGAGGTTGGGAAGGGGCTGCACTCCCACTGCCGCTTGCCTTCCTGCTCCCGCTGCCTCCTCCTTCGCTGCATTGCTCCGAAGTCACAGCGGTACCGGAGCCGCCGCCACCGCCGCCGTGCCGGGGCCGCCCAGTGTCGGGACCGCCGGAGCCGGCGCCGCCGCTCCTCCCCTCCTCTGCAAAATCTGCCCCCCCACATCCTTTCTCCCACGGGAACCGTCTCCGATAGCCCCTCCACCCCCACCACTCCCGCACATCTGTGCGCAGGTCGGGCTTTATCGGATCTCTTTCTGCCCGCCCTTAAATTCCTGCCCCCCGCAGGATGTTCCTTGCTGTCCCCTCCCGGGGTACAGGTGGCCCCCCCGGCACACCCTCAGATCCGATCCCATGGGGAAACTGGGTGTCCCAGTCCCTCCGGGGTGTGTTTCACCCCTTATTTCCCTACCTTTTGCAATAGCCCCTCGCAGTCATCAGTGCTGGGGGGGTTGCTGTGCTCCGGGCTTACAGCTCTGAGCTGAGAGCAGGGACGGGTGATGAGGGGGCACGGGGCAGGGGATGGGGGAGCACATTCCCCCCGAAACCAAGTGTGCCATAAGGGACTTGCTGAGACTGTCTGGAGGACGCAGGGGGAACGTGAGGAGCAGAGGACAGTCCAAGTTTCCTACTGGAGCAATGGTGAATAGGTGACTTTTTGGGGAGGGGTGGCAGTGGGGCACAGCCCCATCCGTGCTGTGGGTGACCCACTCCCATCCCTTCTGTGCTGCCGAGCTGAACAACACTGGCAGGGAAAAGGAGAGTTAAAACTTCCTCCCTCCCTCCCTTCCATTCCAGCAGGGAAATCTGTACAAATCCAGTGTTATCCTGGCATTTCGGGGCTGGGGCTGAGGCTGGCAGAGCCTGCGCGGGCTGGCACGGCCCTCCCTGCTGCGCTGAGACCGCGCCAACTCACTGCAGCCTAAGGAACGATGCCAGATCCCACGGAGCGAGGCCGTGCTGCTGCCTCCTGGTGCTGGGCCTTAGGGATGAAAGCTACGAAAAGAGGACAGCAATGGGACGCGGCACTCCTCACCCTATGTTGTCACTTTTAGAGACCCGGTGACACCCGTCCAACTCACTGCATCCGTTCTCTGCCAGGGCTGGAGCAGAGCGGACCGCGTGCGGGGCGGGATGGCGGCGGTGGGACGGGTTGGAGGACGGTGCGCAACGAGGGAAACTGAGGCACAGGGGCGGCTCTGCGGGCGGAGCGCTCCCCGGAGGACGGCGGAGATAACGCTAAAAATACGCCGGGCGCTTTGTTACCGGCGACAATAGCCAGACGTATTTTTAGCTGTTGCGGCGAGAGCAGCGCTGTGAGCCTCCCCGCCCCGCCCCGCCCCGCTGCCCCGGTCCGGCTCCCCACGGCCCCCGGGATTCGGAGCCGCTTCCCGGTGCTGTGGAAACGGTAACGTTAGAAACTAAACACAAACACCTCCCGGCTGCCACCCCCGGCTGAGTCACGGCGGTGCCGGCTGCCCCCGCCCCTACCTCCAGCTCCGTCCCCGCGCCCCATCCCTGCCCCAAAACCAGTGCCCGACACCCCCCGGCCCAGCCCCATTCTGGGATTGCCCCCTGCGGATGATGCTGCCTCTGCTTCCCCCCATCCCAGGACTCCGGGATTAAACCCTGCTGGGTGGCGCTGCTGTCCCCAACCCCATGCCATGGGGACTCCTCTCACTTCCCCAAAGCAGATCCTGAGCGCTGCCCTAAAGCAGACCGAGTGGTGCCCAGCTTCCAGCCCTCGCTCCCAAACCCGCCGGCAGCTGCAGCTCTGGCACAGCTTCCACCATCCCCATCCTGTGCCAGGGATAAAAATAAACAGGTAGAGGAAGGGAGAAGCAGCAGAGCCGCAGCACACTCGGACACTGGGACCTCTGCATGGGGATGGCCAGGCTATGGGGCTCTGCTATGGTCCCCATTGCACCGAAGTGAGTATTCTTTTCCCACCTCATCACAGGACACAGGACAAGCAAGGATCCCACCTGTCTTGTGGGATCTATGAGGTCCTGCTGGGTTTTGGGGTTGTTTGGGGGAGCCGTGGAGCAAGGAGAGCTACAGCCCCATAGGTAGAGTCACACACACTGGGATGGCCACTGGGAAACAGCAATGGGGCAGCAGCTGTACCTCCTCCTTCCTACAATTGAGCAAAGAGTTCTGCAGCCGCAGCCGTGCCTATGTTGGGATGTTCTGGGGCTGAGGGCAGATTGCAGCACACATCAATTAACACTGAGCAGCTCTGGGTGTCGGCCCAGGCTGTTTTGCTGTTTTCATTTTTGCCAGTCCTGAAGCGTTTGCTGGGGGTGAGCACCCGAAGGCAGCTGATGCAGCCCACACTTCTTGACCGCAGGGTTTTTTAATCCTCTCCATATCTTAGTGCCAGGCCTCAGCTCACAGCCCTGCAAATTATCTCAAAGAGGAACTTTTAAATAAAAGTTGTGAGCCTGTCTGCCTGTGTGCGCGTTCGATTGTGTTCCCCCTATTCCAGCTGCCTGTAAATTTAGCTTTTTCCATCTCCGGTTGTTGGAGCTGGGCTGGTAGCCAAAGCCCTGCACAGCGCCGTGCAGGATGTGATCCCCATCCTTGCATGGGTGAGCAGGTGTGCAAAATACGTGTGCAAGGGCAGGGGGTGTGTATGCACAAGTGCCCACCCAGGCCTGTGCACATGCATAGGGGGGTTCATGCAGGAGAACACGGGATGGGCAGCAGTGAGCTGTAAATAAGTTCCACCAGAGGGTGCCCTGCATCCACGGCACCTCAAACTGTGCCTCATAGAGGTATGTGGGGTGGGGGATGATGGGGTGTCCTTGCCCTGCTGTGTGTGGGCTGGGGGCTTGGGGCTCTGGCAGGACCCTCCTCCCCTCTCCTCCCCTTGCTCATTGCGACTAGGCTGAGACCTGAGCAACCTCATCACAGCTAACAGCAAGGAGTGGAGGAAGCAGGGATTTCTGGTCTTTGCCCCCTCCCAGCACTGTGGGCTTAGGGGATAGCACTGTTTTATATCTATGGGTCAGCCTCAATCTTCTCATGGCCTCCCCAGCACAGAGTAGCAGGCCCTAGGCAATGGTCCCAGCCCCTCCCACCACCAGCCCAGCCCCTGATCACAGCTGGAGCACAGCTGTCCTTCACTCCTCACCCCAGCACTGCCGTTCCCACTTTGGGATGGCAGTAGTCCGGGTGGACCTTGGTGAGCCACTATGGGGCCAGGCAGGGGGATTGGGGCCCGCCTGGCCCTGCAGCTCCTTGAAACCAGCCTGACTTGCTGGGGAGGCCAGACCTGCTTGAGGACTGGGGTTTCCATGGTTGGGCAAACCTTCCCCCCAGGATGGGCCCCATCCCAAAACATAAGGGACCCCTTTAGTACCCTCTCATTGCTGCTAGGTGGGTCCCCATGGAGTGTGTGGATATCCAAAGGCACAAGACCTGCAGCCCCACTTTTTCTGGCCACCCAGAAAGAGACATTGTGCCTTTAAGACAAAGCGCAGGGCACAAAGCAGCTTTGTGTCCTGACTTGCTGAGTTTCCCCAGCACGGCTTTGTCCCAGGACATGTATGGGCACAGCGTGCTCAGCAGCACTCATAGCTGCTGGACTGCAATGCAGGACAGACCCAAAGCAGGGCAGGGATCAGAAGCAGCAGAGATGACTAGAACACATTGCTGGGCACGGCGCAGAGACCGGCACGGCGACAAGGGGACAAGAGATGAGGTTGCTTTGGCAATGCAGTCGGGGATAACAGAGCAAAGCCATCCGTCCATCCACCCATCTGCCCCCATGTCCACAGTGCCACCCCACCCCACTCCCCACCCACCCCGCACACAGGGGGTTTCACCCCACCGGGGCTGTGCGACCTCAGAGAGACGTTCCGGTCCCCCAGCAGCCACGGCGGGACGGCGTTGACCCCATTGGCCGTGGCGTGACCCCACAGATGCCCCATAGTGGCGCGGTGGGGACGTTGGTGTCCCCGTGCCATGGAGGCCGCTCCGCACGGCGTCCCGCTGCCCTCCGTGTTTTCCCTGCAGCCTTTTGTGTGCGTGGCGGCGTGGCGGCGCTCGGGTAGGCCGCATGGCGCCCGGCCTTCCCCACCTCCGTCCTCCTCCTCCCCCCGATCCCCGCCTCCCTCGGCCGCCATTTCGCAGCGCCGGCCTCGCCTGCTCTCCACATCATGGAGGACCGCAGCGCAGGGGGGGAAACAAAGAGCCGCGGCCTATGCTGCTGCCCCACGCATCCCCTCCTGCCGCCTGGGACAGCGGGGCACTGCGCAGGCATTAAACGTTCCTTTCTGCACCCTTCCTTGTGAAGGGGCTCGGCAGCACAGCGCCGTGCCGGTGGGATGCTCTGAGCCCACGTCCCACAGAAGGGCTCGGAGCAGGGAGCCACGTCCCCAGCATGCATGCAGTGATGGCCACGGGGACCCGCAGGGCACCCACCTCTGCCCGGCAGCACAGGGCAGGTTCATTTTTCAGGCAGAAATAAAGGTCAGAATCAGGCACAGAGAATTGAGTTATTCCGGTTCTGGAGTGACCCAAAAGCACCAAGTCAGGTCCCAACCACCGGTGCTATCTGCAAAATCCTACAGCCCAGGGGAGTTCCTTTTCCCTTGGCCTTCAGGTCCTTTTTTAAGCTTCCCTCTGTGACTGCAAAGACTGAGAGAGCCAAAACCCTGCATGCTGCGTACCAGGGTGCTTAGAGAAACACTGAGTAATGGGGACAGTACAAAGCATGCGCCCCACGTACCCACAGCACTTCCCATAAAGCAGAACACTCCATTTCCTGGTCAGGATGGGAAAAGCTGAGGGCAGCACTGGGCTGGCAGAGTCCCAGCAATGACAACAAGAGGAATAGGCATTTAGGACCCCCAGGAGGGTGCTACTGCAGGGCAGTGCCAACCTGCCATTCCAGCAGCATGGTATCACTGCTGCACACGGATCCATCACAGCTGGGCTCAGTGCCAGGGCAGCGCTCAGCCCCCAGCACAGCACAGCAGCCCATGTAAGAGCCCTCAGGCTGCCTTGCCTTCCCCGTGCCCCACTACCCTAATTCCAGGCAGCTGCTCAACTTCCCACTGCAAAGGCTCTTTCCAAAGTCTTGTTTATCTAAAAAAATTATCTGCTTTTTCTTTTTTTTTTTTTTTTTCTCTAAGACTGAGGACAATAACATTTCCAGAATGGATCAAAGCTTATCCTGGAAGCAGGGCACACTGGACAGTTGGACACTGTTTGTTGCTTCTCTACTGTCTAATACAGGGCTGTGCTGCAGGACACCCCCAGGAAGAATCCACCCCACCCCCAGCTGCACTTTGCCCAGCCCTGCTGACCTGAGCATGTTTGCAGATTCCTGCCCCTCCATTCACTGGGATGGAAATGTGGTCAAAGTTTATTAGAAAAGTACCAGCCACGCATGTGCTTATGTGCCTGTGCATATATCTAAGCAAAGCACAACCTTTGTTTTGTTTTCTTAGGAAGCTACTCTGCAAAGCAAGGCCACAAGCAGAGGAAGCCAACAGGCAGGAAGGCAACTGACTGTGTTTGTGCTTCCAAATGTGTGCTGTGCTCAGCATGGGATGGCAGGTGGGAAAGGAGGACGCAGGGGCTGCAGGGGCAACAAAGTGCCACCAGCACAGTGACATTTCAGGAGACTTTATGATAGCCAAGCACTTGGTCTCATGGGACAGTGTCTATCACCTCTGCAAGTGACTCCAGCCCCAACCCAGGACAAGCACAGGTCCAGGCCATAGTGGCCTGAAGCAGTGGAAGAAGCCACAGCTCTGGGCAGGAACCAAAGTGGTGTCTCAGGGCCAGGAAAGCTGTGGTGACTCAAAGGCGAGAGGGGAAATTGAGCCTCACTTTGGCCCCCACAGCCTCTCAGCTGGTTTCCTGGCTCCTTTCAATTTGCATAACAGTCCTTGCACAGGGGGAGCAGCTGAGCTGCGTCCCTCCCCCCAGGGAGGCTGAGTCCTACAGTGCAGCAGGATCCCAACGTCAGCCCTGGCTCTTGCTCCTGCCAATGGCTTCCTGTACGCTTGCAAGCGTCGGCCCTTAGGAATGCCCCTTCTGTCCTCTGCTCTCACAAAACAGCGGGGGCACAGAGCTGTGTCATCCATTCTGCCACCAGCATGATGCGCCTTTGGGAGCAAAGAGCAAACTCAGCTGAAAGGGGTGGTGGACAAGCTGATCCATTTCTCAGCTCAGTGCCACCAGCATGCCCCTTCCCAGCCCTGCCTCATTGTGCCATTTGGGGACAACCTC